ATGTGCACGAGCGCAAAATTTCACATGCACGTTTTTCGCGTTTCGCTTGGTAGGAGGGAAACCCGCGATTATCGCTTTGTCACGCATGTCTCATTGAAAATGAATGGAGGAGAGGCGATGTCGCCTCCCGTATGTCGAGCCCATTAGAATTGAATATAATCAGTCACTCTGAGTTTTTCATGCAGGCTGAACATGAAAATAGTCTCCTACACATCTCCCGCATTAGCTCCTGAAAAGAAATAGACAGAGAAACTCTAGGATTAGAAAAGCCTGACAGATCTACATCACACTATCACTTCACATTCATGGATCAAGACGAGGAAGACTGTTAGTTTAGCATCCAGGAAAAAGCAGACAACGTCTCACCTAATAGAAGCCAATCGTTAGCATTTGTAACACCACCACACAACAGAACTCCTCCAGGTTTGGGTTATTTGTGGAGATAAAACATCAACATTGCAGAGCAAACAGAGTCAGTGGTAGAATTACGTTGCTAGCCAATCAAAGGAGCAAATCCTGCCATCTGAAGCTCAGCTGTGATGGTTCTCACTTCTAGTTCCCGAAACCGTTGCACTGGTGCTTTTTTCCCCTCAGAGTATGAGGTAAAGGGCCTTCATTCCTACTAGAGACCACTGCAAATATAGTGATTAAATGAGTGAACCACGTTTTTATGGTACATCAGCAACGTTTTCATCAGTTAAAATTCAACAGCAGAATTGCAGCAACAACAATTTAACAGCACATATGTTGATTACTTTGGCTTGGATCACCAGGAGCTCACCTCATTTGCTGTTAAATGAGTGATGCACATGTAAATGTTGCTGGTAAAATTTGTATGTAGAAAATTTTGTTGTTGAATTTTAGGCCCTGTCCACACGTAGCCAGGGATCTGCCAAAACGTAGATATTTTTCTACGTTTTGGCCTGTCATCCACACGAAAACTGAGTTTTTTCACACGAAAACGGATCTTTTTAAAAACTCCGGCCAAAGTGAAGATCTGCGTTTTCTCCGTTTTGGGTGTCTGCGTGTGGACGGACAAAACCGGAGTTTTAAGGTCCGCAACGTTACTTTCCGCGACAAAAAAAATGCTGACATCACGTGTGCGACCTGTGTTTACACTAGCCGGCATCATGGAAGCCCTCAGAGCTGCGCTCTGTCACTACCCGATCCATCAATTGTCCAAGCGCTTTTTGCTTGTTTGTTTTTGCAAGCAGAATTACTGATCCTTGCGGAAGACCACAGATGAAGGACGAGGTTAAGAACGGGGGAAGTACTGCCGCCTACAGGTCTGGCATGTCCTTAACAACGTATTTATCCGGGTACGTGTGGACAGAGTTTTGTTTTAAAACGCGGTGGTGTGGATGCAAGTTTCTGGAGGGGCGGATATTCGTTTTTAAAAAACCCCGGCTACGTGTGGACTAGGCCTTAGAAAAAAAAATCCTGCATTTGACTTTTTACTGATACAACTTTGCTAGTGTAAGGTAAGAATTCAAATACATAGTTTCACAGAAAAAGAAAAAAAAATCAGTGTCATGAATTCAATGTCTAAAAAAGTCATATTCTGGTAAGACTGTTTTCCTTCCATATGTCCAATATGGATCACCAGCAACACTATATACCAGCTGACATGGCCTATATCTTTGCATAGATTGCTGTTTAAGATAGAATAGAAATACTCCTACTTTAGCCTGCAACCCACTTTCTGACCAAACCCATCAGTACATGGGTTGCTTTCTATTTCCACTTTCTTTTTTGTTGATGACCAAAAATGTGGCTTCGTACACTTTAGGTAAAATTCAGAATTTTTAGAATTTAATAAATTTTAATATATCAAACCGATGAACTGAAAGAGGATCGACATCCCGTTTCCAATAACGTTACCTTAACTCATTTACTATATTACACCACTAACGCTGTCTCAAGCTGCACCCTCCCAACATTCATCCATCAGATGTCAAACGGCTTCTTGCAGAAGGCTACAAACTGAGTAGCAACTAGAATTCAATTTGGCTGTCAGAAATACAAGTACTGTAAGCTAAAGTTATTGATTACAATAGACACCTCAGCACTTTCAATAGGAGGTCAAACAGAAATGCCACCGTAGTCTGTGGGATATTTAAAATATAAAATCAACTTTCATTTTCAAAAGACAAATTATCAGCTAAAAAAGTTTAATAAAACATGCCTGAGGTTCATGGGTGAAGAGTGAAAATGTGAGGTTAAACTTTTTCATCAAAACCCATTAAAAATGATAACATGTTGAGAGTAATGATACAACTTATAAAATGACTAAGCCCAATAAGTCATTTCAGAGGTGAGAATGGTTTACTTTAGAGTCTGTTTGCATTTTCTCTGAATGTCACTCAAGAACTATTGCAAATAATAAGTGTGGGGTAACTACGTTCTAGGAGTGTAACAATACATTGGTCTACATTCACATATCAGTTGTATGGTTATTGATCCAAAATGCAACAATTGATAGAATAGCTCCTTATGAAATGCACTTTTATTTTGAAAATTACTGTATTACACTGAATTTTAATTCTGTGATTTTTTTTTTCCACAAAATTACTTGGAAGTTCTGCCGGCACACCTTTTCCCACCTTTTGAATTGTGTGTGCTGAAACTGAATTTCATTTCTCTGTATGTCCTGCACATGTGGAGAATATGACAATAAATGACTCTTGACTCTTTTCTTGTACATCCCCAAACTTGTTAAAATCAATCAGTGGAGCCTAAATTAAATCAAGTTATGTTGTGACTGATTTTGAGAGCTCAGCAAACATTGAATCACTATAAACTTTACTGATATATCATAATGTGGTCAAACCCTACTACCCCTACACAAGTTCAAAAATAATAAAATAGTCAATCACCGAAAATCCCCTGGAAGATGGCTGTCATGAGAAAAAAAATCTATAAATTATATTTAAAAATAAGCTTAGATATTACCATGGTGAGTAGTACAACCTTGAGCCAATAAACAGTAGATTAAAACTAGCTACCCGTTCTATTGCTAATAAACGAGCGTCCAAATGTTAAACTGCTCATTTTTATACAAGCTGCATTTTTCACAAGCTCAGTAAAAAAAAAAAAATAAATACAAATGTGATCCTTGACCAAAGTGAGGAGGAGGAAATTATTTGGACGGATGAAGGTACAAGCTGAAATGGAGCTCGTGTTGCTCGTGAAGTAGCAGCACTTTTCTAAAGCTCGTATCTGCGCTTCACCATCTGGGGATTTCAGCCTGCCAGTACAATCTGTCTTATACTTAAATTGGGACCAGTTCATTCATTTACTATACCCTCTTTATCCTGCTCGGAGCCAACGCAGGGACTCATATTCTCACACACACACACACACACACACACACACACACACACACACACACACACACACACACACACACACACACACACACACACACACACACACACACACACACACACACACACACACACACACACACAAATAGGGTAAAAATGGCCAATTAAGCCAATATACTATGCACACTTTTTTGGACTGCAGAAGGCAGCCAGACTTCCCAAAGAAAACCCAAAAGATTTGAGCTGGGGACCTCTTTTCTATGAACTAGTATAGCATCGTGCCAATTTTGGGATGAATAGAAACTTTGTATAAAATTCTAATAAAATATCAGAAAACATTTTGATACTTCTATAAAAAACAACTTTATTCTCATTTCCAATCTATCATAATTTTAGCCTAATTGAACAATTCAGTGTGTCAACATTAAAAACGTTAGCCTCAGAACAACCTAGAAGACTGTGTACCTGTCTTCTCACTACAGTTCAATGACTGGGAAGCAAGTTCCCTGTGGACACACCAATGAGGCAGTTATTGTCATTGCAGTACACAACAAAGCTTTATTTTTTTCTCCGAGCAGAGTACCTTTGGTCTTTCTATGCTGCTGTAGTTAGTGATGATGCTTTGGAGGTAGGCCAGGGGTTTGGTGGTGGTGGTGGTGGGGGGGTGGGGGTGGGGGTGCTTTTTACCCTCATTTACCACTGAGACACATCATTTAAGGGCACACACCCTGTTAGCAGTGTAGCACTACTATCTCAGACAGAGCCTTTGGGAATGCATCCAGCAACAAGACCTTACTGTAAATGGCATTGGGATTATTTATCCCTGGAACCAAACAGGTGAAGTTTGGTGTGACAAAAAGAGTTTGGGATAATTCTTATTTAAAGGTGCAATTTGTAAGAATTCTACTGTAAATGAATCAAAACAATCTAATGTCTCAATTATGTTGAACAGAAGGTTACTTTGAAGCAGAGTTCCTTCTCGGCTGGCTGGGGCGGTTGTCAGTATTTCTCCTTTCAAATAAAATGAAAGCAGAACACTGTTACTGTTCACACTTAGAATTTTTGAAGTTGCAGAATCCGCAGCGAGCTAACACAGCATTGCAGGCATTTGTAATTCGACATCGGCAAGCAAAAAGCTCCAGAGTTGTTTAAAGAACCAAAGCCAGTAAACTAGCCAGAACCCAGAAGTTATTTTTGTACCCCAAGGAGCTACAGCATCTTTTTGTTTTACTCGAATATTGGGTGAAGGACCCTAGAAGCTAACGCTGAGTTAACAATGCTAACGGTGAATCAGAAGCAAATAGTTTGCTTTAAAACAATCTTAAGCTACTTTTTTCAGTTACCAACTACTCAATATTACAGTGAAAATATGGGTGGAGTGAATAAGGAGTCAATTGTGGCGTTTTACTTCCTTTAATGAGTCATTCAGAACTATGACAGCAAGCTAACAGCAAGGCGGAAAACAACTGCACTTTCTGTAACGCCAGTGAAATATTACCATAATAAGTGTAGTAAGTGTTCACTACCATAGTACACCTGAGTGTACCACTGCCTCTTTCAGAAGTGTTTTCCTAACAGGAAGTGTGGATGAAATATGTCTCCACCCATGCCCTGACTCTCACTTTAATGTATTTCAGATTTTATGTTGGTATTGATAAAGAAGAATGTACTTACATGCAAACTGTAGCAGAGCATCTCGACTCAAGATTGTTCCGTAGCTGTTCTCTGCTTGGCATTGATACCTCCCATAGTCAATGGTCTCACTTGCATTTTCAATGATTAGGTCTCCGTCAATAAAGCTGTAGCGGTAGTCTGTCTTTGAATCTACTTCAGTCCCATTAACGTACCAACTGTAAAAAAAAAGTGATAAAAGTTTTTTAATGTGTTTCTGGTGGATAGCAGACAAAGCAGAAACGGGTGAATAAATGTCACACCTGTATGTAGGTGGTGGGTTACCCCGTGCCTCACAGTGAAGCATCACTTTCTTTTCATCGGAATTCAAAGAAAAAATAACATCATCTGGCTCGTGGATAAAAACAGGTCCAAACTCTTCTGTTTCTGTAGGGGAGAGAAAAAAACTAGGATACTTTCGAGATTCACAACAGGAGAGCCACTCAGCTTTACAGTCCAATCACCTTAAAATTATCATGAGGAAGAAAGATGTACAGCATCATACTGTGTTTCAGTTATAAACAACTAAATGGCAATCTGATGCAGGCAACATATGCTTTTCGGAATATGAGAAAGGCACAAGGGATTACCACTAGAAAGTAGAGCCAAATGTGAGATGGCAAATTATTAAGTGTGAAGAGAACCTCTGAGAGCTGAGAGGTAATCCTGTTGAAAATGATTCATAGACCTAAAAAAAAAAGAATGCTAAAACACCACACTTCAGGGTTCAATTAAGCTCCCACCAAATTACATTTACACCTTTGGACCCACTGTGGTTTGCCTAAAAGACTAAGTGACTCGAGCGAGATAAGTGAGATTCTAACATTGCAGTAATACGTTTTGGCCAGGTTTGGGAGTCGGTGCATGAGTGCATATCTACTATCCCTCTGTTTTACTTCTCCCTTTGGCCTGGTTTCACATTTCAGATTACAAAACTTAAAAAAAAACTAAAATACTGATGAAGGGATGTCATTAGAACACTAATATTTTTCTCGGTTTCTAATGTTGAATGTAATATTCTAAAAAAATAAACAGAAATAACAATGAAATAAAAAGTTTAGTATGTAACAGTCCATTGCTTTGAACATCTTAGGTGTGTTCTTGCTGTGCGTTATTTCTAATTCCATGTTGTCGTTCTTTTTTAAAACACAAACGGTTTTGTTACCTGTTATTGACGCTACAGTTTCGCCGACGGCTGCCGGCTTCTTCAGGCTGACGCTGATGGTGGCGCGTCCCTTCCTTCTCCGTTTATCTGCAGGTGTAAATGTAATTTGGTGGGAGCTTTATCTGCGGGATAAACGGAGAAGGAAGTGACGCGCCACCATCAGCGTCAGCCTGAAGAAGCCGGCAGCCGTCAGCGAAACTGTAGCGTCAATAACAGGTAACAAAACCGTTTCTGTGTTTTAAAAAAGAACGACAACATGGAGTCCATTGCTTATTCATTTTAGAGAGGTTTGTCCATTAATTGGAAGGTTGCAGGTTTGATCCCAGCTCACACCAGAGAATGCTGCTGTTGCGTCCTTGGGAAAGACACTTAACCCAACTTGCCTGATGGTGGTGGTGAGAGGAACTGGTGGCGCCTGTGTTCAGCACACTGACAAAGCCTCACCTTTGTCAGGGTGCCCCAGGGCAGCTGTGGCTACATTGTAGTTCATCCCCACCAGCGTGTGAATGTGTGTGTGAATGGGTGAAGGACTGATTGCATTGTGAAGCGCCTTGGGGGTTGTAGAACCCTAAGAAGGTGCTATACAAATATGCAGTGGAATACATTTTTTTAAATTATGACCAATGATATGTGAATATTCCATATAAATATGAAATATCAATCTGACTGATCTTTAAATGTTTAATCAGAATATTCTAGGGTTCTTTGCTTCTTTAGGGACCATAAACACAATTCGTATTAATTCAGACAGAGTCAGTATATAGTTTGTAGAATGAATTCAATTATTTTCCCTAAACTAACTATTTATACAGACAAGATGTGAATAATGAGATGTGGTGTGATGGATCTGGAGTGATTTAATGTGATGTGTGAAATGTAATGGAAGCTAGATGTTTTAGCAACCATTCTTTGTATCTGAGAGAAATTGTGAAATCTGGGTGTAAAAGAATTTGGTGTTTGTTATAAACTAGAGGGTTGTTTAATTAAAAACTTCATCAGACGCCAGTATGCAGGCTTACGATACCCTGGTACGAGTTGCTCCCCGGCAGTCCGGAGGGTTGCGGTAAGAGTGGTGAGGTCACCGGACGTCAGGGGGGCAAAAGGGCTTAGGCAGCCTTGGAGGTCCTGGCTCGTGTGAAGAAGCTTCTTGGACTATGAGATTTTGCCCCCCCCCGAGTTGCTCAATGGAGTCTGTTGAGTTCAGGAGGTGTTCCCCTGAAATGGCTTGACCTTAGGTTCCTTCACTTCAACTGCACTGAAACGTGGAATTCAGAGCGCGGGTCCAAATTATCCAAAGGGAAGTTGAATCATAAAACCACTCCAAATTAGTTTAACTCTTAATGCGAAAACTCGACCGGACCAAACTACTTCAGGTTTTACGTAGAAGGTCAAAACAAAACAAATTGAGTTGCCGCTGAGTTCTACTGTACTTTTTGGGAGCGCTAATGACTTGGGAACTTTGAGAGCGACGTCGTTGCTAGGCGAGATGGAAAAGCCTTGCGGGATTTGCTTTAGGCGTCTTTGTTCTTTGCTCTGCCGTCACGAGGTTTGAACTCTGGCCTTTATAACCTTTCTTGGTCACGCCCACATGTATTTCACTCATTAACCACTGGATGACACTATGGCTCTTTCAAATAACTCAATTTTTCTAACAGTGAATAGTTCATATCACAATTTACCAAACTTATCCAGATGAGGCATCAAAAGTATTACTTAAAACAGGAAAGAACTAAATTTATGTCTCAAAACTGGACAGTTTTACCGTTAGCATGAATTTTAGCTGGAGAAACAAAAATGGCAGATGTTTAACATGAAAGAGGAACACAAACAAGCATTTAGGTTTATAACTGATAAGAGCTTAAACATTTACTTTGAACACCTCAATTGTTTTAATGGTAAACAACCTAAAACACCTTCTTTGATTGTAGATAAACAGAAACACAAGGTTTTATAAGGACTCAAGTCTTAAAGCTTCCAGAACGAAAACCTCAGAAGTTTTACGACTACGCCCATCTTGAGTAACCCCGGCTTTCCACAAAAGCCGTCAGCAGCACGTTACTGCAGCAGTACGTCATAGCTGCTAATAGGAACCACTGTGGTCAACAGAACCTTTTCCACTGGAGCCGTCAGCAGCGCGAGTCAGCCGCGTCTCAGGAGCAGCACTATTACAGAACAAGTGTTTCAATAAAATCAGAACATTAATATTTAAGTGCATGGATTAATACATCTGAACTCATGCAGTAGGAACTAGGAAATATGAAATGCTAGAACCAGACACAACTTTATATATATATTTTTTAATTTTAATTTGATTCAACTGATTTCTTTCTTAACGTTCTTGGCATTTTGCACCACACAAAGTTAAACAAAACAATGTGGATTGAGGTGTGTGCGTGTCTGAGAGAGATAGAGAGGGTGAGAGGGAGAGAGAGGGAGTAAAAAAAAAAAACCAGACCGGAGCGGAGGTGACTGATGCAGCACGTCAGCTCTGTCTTGTCAAATGCACCAGTTAAGTTACGAAAAAAGTAACTTTAAATATTCAACCGAAAAAGAGGCCAGCTGAAGAAAACCTAGGGAAAACTGAAGAAACGTGAGCAACAGTGAAGCAATCACAGCGAGATCGTTACTGTCTGTGTGTGTGCGTGGATGAGCCAGACGGACTGCGCTCCCGGCCGGCTAGAGAGTTTTGTGTGTAGGGAGGGGCGGGCGCTCTATGTGACTGGCCAATCACAGAGTGTGAAGACAGTCAGTTACCCAATGAGGATTTTCCTTCAGCACGATTACAGATATTTACGAATTTTACTCGTTTCATGCTGTACTCGTCAAAAATACCGCATACTCGTCTGAAACGAGTATCCGGCTCATCCCTAGTATTTATCGTTAAGTGATTTACTTATCTACTGCAGAAAAATCGGTAGGGACATTGTTAACCATTCAAATCTAATATATACTGCCCTGCCAGTAATCAGATGTCCTGCAGGAATAATAAGCTGGCCAAAGGAAGGAATACAGACCACAGATGTTAAGACAGACGTTCCTAACTACGCATGGAGGGTTCCATCACAAGTTCTGAGACTGTACACTAGCCGTAAGAAAGGAGGCTATGAGCTAGTGAGAAACTCCACCACATAACTGCAGGGGGTAAGATGCTGGCAGGGAAAGTGTACACATCCAAGTGGCTGGCATTGTGTACAGAAATATCTGTGCAGAGTATGGACTGGATACCCCAAGGTCAAAGTGGGTAACACCCCCTAAGGTGGTTGAGAAGGAGAGAGCCAAGCTCCTGTGGGACTTCCAGATCCAGACTGACAAAATGGTGATGGCGAACCAACCGGATATTGTGCTGGTGGACAAAAAACAAAGGACAGCCGTCGTGATTGTAGTGGCAATACCGAGTGATGGCAACATCAGGAAAAAGGAACACGAGGAACGAAAGAAGAACCAGGGCATCAAAGAAGAACTTGAGAAAGCCTGGAGAGTGAAGACATCAGTGGTCCCCATAGTTACGGGGCACTTTAGGCAGTAACCACAAAACTGGAGGAGTTGCTATATATATATATATATATATATATATATATATATATATATCAGGACAATAATTTTATTATGTATGATAAGATTCCCTTGCCATCTTGCCCTTCTTTCACTAGGGAGTGAACAACATTCACTGAGTAAAGTATAATTCAACTGTTTCTTTTGAGGCAATGTACTAATTTTGTTAGAAGTAGAAGTCTTAGAAGAAGACTTGAAAATCATTAAGTTAAAGGGACATTATGGAAGTTTGAAAGCCAAAACGTATAGAAATAATAAATTTCTTATTCATACATTCTCCTGCAATGCCCTGGTCCTGTAGAATGAGCCCTGGCATTTTTACTGTGATTGCCTGTTTTTCTGTAAAATCACAGAAAAAGAGAGCTGCTCGGGTCGAGCAAGCTGCTTCATGCGCGTTCACGCTCAGGCATAGCCCGTAGTATTTGCTATCCATAGATTTAGCAGAGAGAGAGATAGTGCCAACTCAGCGACAAAGTTGCTGTTCCTAACGCCTAGTGACAAACCTATCTACATTTCTGAGGACCCTTAGCTACTTTCTGTAGAACTTTCTTCTAGATATTTCCTGCAAATTAGCAACAAAATAGCCATTTTCGCTTCGAACCGTTCTTTGGTTTGACGTTGTTTCAGGTGTCATCAAGGATATAAAAGTTACAGATACTATGAATGTTAA